CTTGGTGGCCTTCCATCTCCCTCTAGCGGTGCCGGGGATGCTGAGGACCCGGCCCTGCCGGTTCTGGTACCAGCACCGCGCGCCCTGCGCAGCTTCCTGCAGCTCCCAAGCAGCTCCCAAGCATCCCGCGCACGGGCCCAGCCTTCCCAGCACAGCCCCCTCCCGGCTCCTCTGAGATGGCCTGGGGGCGTCCCCAGCAAGAGCGACAGGTAGAGAGATGCTCCTTGCTGAGAGGTCAGGCTCTCCGCCGGCGCCGGCACGCTCGGCATGGGATGCACGGGATTGCACTTTGCCCGGCGGGGAGGGTTTGCTGGAYGGCAATGGGCCAGATATTCACCCAGTGCCCGAGCTGCGACTTCCCACGTCACCTGGACGGGGCTGCCCCGGTGCCTCCACCACCCACGTCTGCGGTGGCACAGCAGCCGGCTGATAAACGCCCGCTGTGTCCGGATTAATCACCTGGCACCTGATATATACACCAAAACAGTGCTGACAAATTGCAAGGAGAGCCCACGTAGCCATGCGTGCTCCGTGGGGAGATCCTTCTTGCCGCTGCTTGATGCCACATGAAAGCCATGCCGTGCCGTGCCATGCCATGCTATGCCGTGCCATGCCATGCCATGCCATGCCATGCCATGCCATGCCATGCCATGCCATGCAGCACGACGTGCTCCTCCGCAGCGGCCACTGCTGAGGCCCTCAGCCCGAAGGGTGACAGATCTTCCAACCGACGACGCTGAGACGGGTGAGCACGGTGCTTATGCAGCAAGTCATGGATTTTATGACATCGTTTAGGCATACTTAGCACAAATGGGCCAGCAAGCTTTGAGCAGGATGAATAAATATTGCATTGGGTGGCTGCAAAATGTCCCATGGATTCACATCAGCCTGTTTGGGAGCACTCGTGCTGCTTCCCTCCCACAGTCCCTGGCTCCCAATGCTGGAGACGGGGCCCCGAAGCCCCCCAGCCTTCCAGGTTTTCGGGGCTTCCAGGGTCCTCACTGTTCCCGGGCCAGGAAGGACAGCAGAGCACAGACCTGAAGAAATGCTAATTTTAGCCAGCACCTGCTCTGCTCCAGGGAATATATTTATTTCAGAAGCACCATGTGTTTGTCCTTCTGAAACAAAACTGCTTCAAGACTTGGGGTTTGTRGAAATCTTCCAAAAATCTGGGATAACCTCACAGCCAAAGAGAATTGTGCAGAAAGGCTCAGAATATCTATGAAGAGGAGCCCTGAGTTTTCCAACAGCTCCATTAAGAGCCCGTCTGCACCCCGGCAAGCGCCAGAGGCCAGGCYGTGCCTTCTGCAGACAGCTCCGAAACTGTTCCCAGTCACGCCTCTGGAATCAGTATGCACGTATATATACACGTGTGCCTGATGAGAATGAGCYCTGCCAGCTCATCAGCATAAAATGTTAGAAAATGCCAGTAGGCTCCTGACCTTAATTCAAACGGACTTGCTTTCCTGCCTGTTCTGGAGTTCTCGCTTCCTTCCCTGCGTTTGCTCTTTGCTCGTTAGGCTCCCGGTTTCATTAGGCAGCAAATGCATCTGTTGGCCGTGCCTCGGCCCGGGGCTCCGGCTTCGCTCTCCATCCACGGACGGTGCCAGRGGCTGGAGACAGGACGCAATTCCATCCGGAGCTCAGCGGGTGAACCTTCTGCACACAAGCACTGGACTTTAGGACCCGCATAGCGCACGGGTGGACGTGCGGGTGCAGTGCTGAACTGCAAGGGTGCCACGGGGCAGCGGCATTCCCAAGGGCTCTGCTGCCACCGGAGCTTGCTGAAGGATGCTGGAGCGAAGGGAGCACCAAACTGGCACGGATTGCTCCTTTCCTGTCTGAACGCCTAACTGAGAGCTCATTTGCTTTACAATTTATTGCTTGGAGCTGTAAAATCTGCCATCTGCTCACTCCCTCTTATGGCCATGCTCAGTGATATTTCTCATTCCCAACAAACCCCAGTACAATAAAAAATATATACTTATATTTATTTATATATATATTATACATAGATAGATATTTTTGCATCCCTGGCCAAAAGCCCTTTTTTGCTACTGCTCTTTGGAGCAGTGGGTCKCTTGGGTACAAGAAGGGCACAGTCTATTTTCCCACAGCAGCAGCAGTGCCACCACTGCGGAGGAAGCGACCGGTGTGTGAGAAATAGGCTCGGGATTAGCCGGCCGTGGTTTGTCACAGGCTCTGGGAGCACGGCTAGGGGATGCTGCCCATGCCCCCCTGCGCTACCACATTGGATGTAATTCCGATGAAAATACTTTGAAGCCCAAATAACTCCTTAGTAAGTGCAAGACTGCACAACACATGCTGAGGTTTTCAGGCTGCTCTGTATTTGTAAAGCTTGTCAAAGCTTCGTGTTTGTGGGCTTTTTTTTCTTTTTTTTTTTTCCTTTATGATTACTATCCACGACTTGAAAACACCCCTTGGCCAACTGCTGAGCGCAGAATGATGCCAGAGGCCGTAGCCCGGTGAGGTGGGTGACCCCTTTGCCGCGTGCTGGGCTCCATTGCCTCTATGGATCCCTATGGATCCCAAGCCCAGGACCCTGCACCTCCCACCCGCCGCAGGGAGAGCATCTTCTCCAGCCCCATGTGCAGCTCCGAGCCCCTGCGGAGGACACGGGCTCTCCTGCCGCCRCCTGCGCTTTCCCCGCTGCATTTCAGCCCCTTCCCGGGAGATGGCAGGCGGGTTTTATAAATCTGCAACCCGTATTTATCAGTCGGCAGAGCAACCTGTGCCCAAAAGAGGACTGGATTAGATCTCACTGATACCAAAGYGCTTGAGGAGAAGCTGGGAACTGAAGTACCTGCACATACAAGAGCTGAAAGCAGCTGAGCTTCTATTTGTGCTCCATCTACTCTCCTCTTGCTTACAAGTTCATTCAAAGGCATTGGAAGTGGCTGTGGGATTGTCCTTCAAAATGCCCTTGTGACTCTTTCRGGATGGCACTGGCTGCGTCCCCAAAGTCCCCTCGGCTTTGGTGACGTCTTTATGCGCTCCTGTTGGCATGGGACATTGGACCTTTGTGCCCGCCCGCCCCACACACAGCGCGTTGTTCCGCCAGGCGGAAGCGGAGGGAGCTGAGACACGGAGCAAACCGGTTACGCAGCCTGGAGAGGTGACTCCTGCCCTTGTCACTATTGAGCGTGGAAAGGGCGGAAGCGGTGTCTGGGCTTAAGGGACAAACACAAATGCAAGGGTGGACTTTGTGCTTTTGGGGGGACTGTCATGCATGTGCTGTATTGACAAGCTTGCCTGCTGGGTGGTGTCACAAACCCAACAGGAATGTGGAATCGTGCACCCGTGACCCAGGTATCCTGAACTCCGGGCAGCAGGAAGAGCTGCTGCTTCCCCTGAGCGCTGAGCGGCCGGAGGGAGAGCCTGACCTTGGAGCCACGTCCCTCCGCAAAGCCCTGGCGCGAGGCAGGCTGAGCGCAGAGCCCCTGGGGACAGCAGAGCCCTTGGGGACATCAGACAGGGCTGCTGCAGGACTGCGGCAGCGGCGAGGCCTTTCATTAGGCACCCGTGTCTATGGCTGGAGTCAACCCGCCTGCACCTAGAGGCAAACGGGCATGGGCACCAGGAGCCCAGACCATCAAGTGCGGCGGAGCAGATCCAGGCTTGGCCGCAAGCAGGGCCTTCTGCCTGTCCCAGCTCTGGCCTTGGCCTTGGCTGCCTTCGTGCCAACCTGGATCTCCCCAAAGGTCACCAACAAACACGCCCAGCACAGCGACCTGCTGGTCCCGGGCTCCACCGTGCCCAAACCCCCAGGCTTGCTGGGTCACCACTGATGGTTGTGGCCATGGTCCTGCTGCCAGCCCGTAGCCCTTGTGCCCTCAGTCAGAGACCCGGCGTGCCCAAAAAGAGGGACCAAGGGCACTGAAGAGACGAAGGGCACTCAAGAGACGGCAGCTTGTTGGCATGTGGCTTGAAGCATGATTGGGACTGCATGGGGCGTGTGGGGCTGCGCGGGGACTGCGTGGGGCTGGGCAGAGACTCGGTGGGGCTGCACGGGGATGGTGTGGGGCTATGTGAGTGCAGGGTGGGCAGCGCAGGGGTTGTGTGGGGACGGTGTGGGGCAGCCTGGGGCTGCACGGGGACTGCGCGGGGCTGCCCGGCGATTGCACGGGTGCACGGCGGGCGGCGCGGGGGTTGTGTGGGCACAGTGTGGGGCTGCACGGGTTGCGCGGGGCTGCGTGGGGGTTGTGTGGCGACGATGTGGGGCTGCGCGGGGTTGCGTGGGGCTGCGCGGTGCGCGGTGCGGGGGTTGTGTGGGCACGGTGCGGGGCTGCGCGGGGCTGCGCGGTGCGCGAGTTGTGTGCGCACGGTGCGGGGCTGCGCGGTGCGCGGGTTGTGTGGGCACGGTGCGGGGCTGCGCGGGGCTGCGCGGTGCGCGGGTTGTGTGCGCACGGTGCGGGGCTGCGCGGGGCTGCGCGGTGCGCGGGTTGTGTGCGCACGGTGCGGGGC